AAATGCATAAAAACATTTCAAGTACTTTATCGATAAGCAATATTTATGAGAAAGTTAAATATCGAAATAACGTAGTTTATCACCTAAAACCGGAAGTTGACGTTTTTGATTCCGGTGGAATCTACCACATTTCAAAACAGCAAAAGAGATGCAATAAAGTGATGCAAACTTTAATTTAAAAAAGAAAACTTAAAATTTTCGATTTCTTTGATCACTTCCTGTGACAACCGGAAGTTACGACTGACGTGTTTAACCAAAATGGTTTTGCCTACTCCTCAAGGTCTGTTACTCATAAAAATTTGGTGTTTTAATCTTTTACCTGTTTTTGAGATCTCGCTCAGGCAATTTCTCATTTTGATGACAGAAAAACACGCGACTGGATGTGAATTTTACAAAGATATTTGAGGTTACTCTAGAAATTTGCAGTCTCAATAACATATCTAAAATTCATTTCATATACTTTATCTATAAAGAATATTTATGGGAAAGTAAAATACTCAAATTATTAAGTTTTTCTCTTATAACTGGAAGTTGTCGTTTTTGTTTCCGGTGGCACCAACATCTTTCGAATCTGTGAAAAGATGCAATAAAGTGATGCAATTTTTAATTAAAAAAAGAAAAGTTGAAATTTTCGATTTCTTTGATCACTTCCTGTGACGACTGGAAGTGACGACTGATGCTCTGAACCCAAATGATTTTGGCTACATCTTAAGGTCTGTTGTTCATATAAATCTGGTGTCTTAATCTCTTACCGTTTCCGAGATCTTGCTCATACAACTTCTCATTTTGAGGACAGAAAAACACGTGACCGGAAGTGAATTTTACAAAGATATTTGAGGTTACTCTAAACATTTGCAGTCTGAATTACATATTTAAAATTCATTCCAAATACTTTATCTGCAAAAGATATTAATGGGAAAGAAAAATACTCAGATTATGTCGTTTTTCTTTTATAACCGGAAATTGACGTTTTTGTTTCCGGTGGGACTAACATATTTCGAAACTACAAAAGAGATGCAATAAGGTGATATAACTATTGATTTGAAAAAAAAAGTTGAAATTTAACGATTTCTTTGATCACTTCCGTAAGCGACCCGAAGTGCCAACGACGAACAGAAAGGTGCCCTCTCCAATCTAGAAATCATGTTCTATCATCTCTAACAAGTCTTCAGTTCATATCTTTAGCCATTCTTGAGAACACTCATGGACAAAATTTCATTTTAAAATCAGAAAATTGTCCATAACTTGGCACCGGAACCGAATTTACCAAAAAACGGAATTTTATATAAAATTCATATAAAGACCTTTTATCCCTGAAAATTTCAAAGAAATTCATTGAATAGTTTTCGAGAAATCGCGTGCACAAAATTTTGTCTAAAAAAAAGAAGAAGAAGAAGAAACAATAGAATCACTATAAGGTCTTCCGTGAAGACGGAAGACCTTAATAACTAGATACTTATTGCCTAGGCAATAACAGGTCTTCTGTTTTTTTGACTTCTTTGGAAAAAAAACACAATCTTCTCAAAAAGATTACTCTAAATAATTAACAAAAGTTATCCCAAGGCTTCCAAAGATATGTAAATAGAGATAAAAACAAACGGAATTACTTTTCTGTTTTCTTTATGTACTTCGTCATGAGCGAAAGTGCTCCAAACGAATAAAATGTTCATTCTACACCTAAATTATTTACAACTGATCATCCCTAAAAGTTTCCATGAAAAACTACTCATGTTTGAGACAACTTCTGGTTTTTTGGTTGGCACTTCCAGTGAAAATAATTTGCATGGTCATGGTCTATCTAACATCTGCATTAGCCAAACATTTCTGTAAAAAGAAAAAAAAACTTTAAAAATTCACTTTTTTTCCATCGCTTCCTGTCACGACCGGAAGTGACGGCAATGTATGATTTTCACATGATGTAGATAAACTGGTGACTGACAAAAAGTTCTGAAAGTTTTAGACTTCAGTCATGTACTGTTTTTGTGCAATTAGGTGAATAAAATCTCAATTTGAGGATAGAAAAACACACGACCAGAAGTGCATTTTCCTAAGATGGTTGACTTCACACTAGACAATTGCAGTCTCAATAACATATGTAAAAATCATTTCAAAAACTTTATCATAAGTGATATTTTTGGGAAAGTTAAAAATCCCAATTACATAGTTTCTCTCTTATAACCGGAAGTTGTCGCTTTTTGTCTCCAGTGAGACCAGCACATATAGAAACTGTGAAAGAGATTCAATTATATGAGTTTTATTTCAAAAAAGAAAAGTTTAAATTTTTTATTTCTTTGATCTCTTCCTGTAATGACCGGAAGTGAGGGCTGACGCTATTAACCCAAAGAGTTTTGCCTACTCATTAAGTTCTATTACTCGTGTAAGTTTGGTGTCTTAATCTCTTACCGTTTCTGAGATCTCACTTTGACAAGTTCTTATTTTGCGGACAGTAAAACACGCGACCGGAAGTGAATTTTACCAAGATATTCGACGTTACTCTAGACATTTGCAGTCTAAATAAGATATCTAAAAATCATTTCAAATGCTTCATCTATAAGCGATATTTATGGGAAAGTGAAATACTCAAATTATGTAGTTTTTCGCTTATAACCGGAAGTTGGCGTTTCTGTTTCCGGCGGGACCAACATATTTCGAAACTGCAAAACAGATGCAATAATGTGATGGAAGATTTAATTAAAATGAGAAAAGTTGAAATTTTCGATTTCTTTGATCACTTCCTGTGACGAGCGGAAGTGACGGTTGACGGATTTAAACATATTCCACAAACATACTTGTCATGATCTATAATCCCTGAAAGTTTGAGGTCTTAATCTTCTACTGTTTCTGAGATATCATCTGGACATGATCTCTTTTGAAAAAAAACGGAAATTGGACATATCTGATGACCGGAAGTGAATTTTGCAAAATCCTTCAAAATGTTTTTAGTTTATTTTATTTGTCATAATCCCTGAAAGTTTCAAGAAAATCCATCAAGTCATCTCTGAGAAATCGCTTGGACAAAAAACGGGAAAAAAAAAAAAAATAATAACTAGAAACTCATTGCGAGCAATGAGAGGTCTTCCGTCCGAATAACCATCCTTATATGTGATGTCCTTTGCATGTAAAATTACATTATATATGCTCGTAGTAAAGACGCCTAAAAATATATCATGGATCTTTCAAAAATGCAAGGATTTTTAAGATTTATTTTAAAACATGAAAAAAGCACAGATTTCACACAGAAAAAAAACGCCAAACATCATTTATAAGGATGAAAACGTAAACTTAAGCTAAAAAATGAGAAAGGAAAGAACAAGGTACGGTTTTAATACAAATGTTACCCTGTGTTTTTCTTAAAAATGAAAGTGATCTAAAAAATTACAACTCATGCTTTCTGAATCATTGAAATTCCATGCAGAAAGATCATACAAATCATTTTTCTCACATGACCTTTTAAATGCTTATTGTGACGTCATAAACTTGTGCATTTTCCCGTATTTTCTTAAATGCGTGTCTACGAGAAAACCATGCAAAATCCAAATTTTATTATGAAAGGCATTGTGATCATTTTGACTGATTTTATTGTTTCTGATTAGCATCATGTGTCCTCTAATAAATCACGGTATCAAAACTGTCAGGTACCTTTGGGGATCCCTATTATAGCCCTATATTCTATTTTTAGCACATTTTATGAAAATATTTTGAAAAACACCCAGAGATTAAGAGAAAAAAATTGCAGGAAAAAATGCACTTTTATTCAAATGTTACATATTAAATAAATTTAAAGGAAGTGCTCTAACTAGAAATATTTTATTTAATTTCATTTATCAACACTGATTCTGTAAAAGTGGGGTCTAAAATTAGATTAAATCAATGTGTTTAAAATACCACTATCTTTATAATGCTGTAAAAACCCAAGAAACGCTTAAAACATTATACATATCAGTTTAATTGCAAAAATCCTTCAAAATCAATATATAGTTAAAAGGAATTTGGTTGCAAATGGCATTATGCTAATTTAAAAATAGATTGAAGTTGGCTGAAACTATTAGAAAAATTATCTCCCTTAGTGGAACTCTCCTTATTTAAAGGAATTAAAAGTATGGTGTCTTAATGGCAGACGAAAAGATGAAGTGTTGATTTGACGACAATATTATGATAAAAGATCTCTAGCTTTGTTGAAAGATTGTAAAATAGATTCAGCTGAATATACAAGGTATATTAAATGCAGCACAGAAGACATTTCTGTCCCTGAAACGCTTCTTATCGTTAACCATCTTGAACCATGCAGCTGTTATGGGACTTGGACAGTCTATTTTCTGTAAACAAACCTACATGTACATGTATGTGTCAAACACAGAAATATACTTGGTCTACACTGGAAAAGGAAAAAAAGAACATGTTGTCACCCATACCTGATAGGGGAGACGCTATTATGCAAACCCGTTAACCGAGAGGGTCAAGCTGAATGAGGTTTTGCCTATTGGAACTGGTAAGAACATTATGCAGTTTTTGTGTGTCCCTCAAGGAATTAAAAACTTAAGGAATTTTGCTAAACCATTGAAATTAACTTAATTTCTGACCTTAAAGATTTCAGAGAGACACTGTACATGGTATTTGGGTTGTCCATAAGAAATGAAACAGATTTTTAAAAAAAAATTAAAGCATGTTGGGGGTTCCTCCCCTTAGTGAGGGTTGAGAGGACAATACCAGAGTATTTGGGGAATTATGTCATTATAGGTGAAGAAATTCCCCAGTCCCACAGGTCTTAAGGACAACCCTATACATGTAAATATAATATCACAAAGTGATATCATAATTGGAAATATTTACTGACTTTGTCTTTATAGTTTGTGAAAACCTATTGATATCAAGTTTATACAACTTGCATGTCCAATCTATTACATGTATAATGATTTATAATAATGATTTATATTTATCAACTAATTTGATTCCTAATTCTTACAGGTATATGTAAAAGATGTACAGAAACACACACTAAAAAATCAGTATGGAAGTAAAGCTGAAGGAAGAGCTTAAAGGTACATATACATATACTATGTGTTTATAATTATATGTAAAAGTTTTATCAAATTATTTCTGAAATTCACTCAGTAGCTTATACATCAAGTTTCACTTATGAAGCAAAATTACCTGCTTTTATTATTTTATAGCTGAAATACATGTAAAAAGTGAAAACTCTTGAGCAGCAGTCCACTTGCTAATTCTTGTTCTCATTCGAGTATATTTAGTACTCACATAAATTAAGGATTCTACAGTAAATGTTAAATGGTTTTTACACTCAATAGTTTCATTATATTGATAGATTTCACATGTAAATGATCCAATCCTGTTTGGAAATAAAATTTCAATTGCATATTATTTTGAATTAGTTCCAAAAATAAAATCTCAAGTATGATTTCTGTTTTATTTTATGTGTACATAACTGGTTATAAGTATTCATGTAACTATGAGGATTATTAAGTATTGTATAGTTAATATTAAAATTAATGTTTATTCTTTAGCAGAAATGTGTTCCTATTGACAAGGCAACAATTGAATCAAACCAAACAGGTGATCACTTACTGTTACAGTAATATAATATTTTTAAGGTACTACATAATAATAAAGATAATGTCAATGTTTAATATCTCAAAAAATAAAATTAACAAATATGTTTCATTTCCACACTGAAAAATATAACTAAGTGGACATTGTTATCATGAAGTTCAATGACATGAACCAGAGTTTGTACATGTGGTTAACATTTTATAATGTATACATACAAGTTACTATAATCATGATAATGTACATGTAACTGCTCATTCACATTACTGATAAGTAAAATAACAAAGAACAATTTATGTGAAGTTAGGTCTAAATGGTGAAGATGCCTGAATATGTGACTGATAAACTGAAAAGTCCAGTCCATATAGTTCAAGTTTTGAGCTTTCAAATTATTTAATTATGATTCATTCAAAATGTTTCACCATTAGCAGTTTTAGCATTAACTTTAATGTAGAAGAGTATATATACTTCATGGCTTTTTCAATTATTTTACAGAGCAAAGAGTGGAGGAAAATGGAAGAAGTCATGGACATAACAGAAAACATATGACCTAATACCTGTAGGTAACAGCCTCCCCCCCCCCCCCCCCCCCCCAAATAAATGTTTATCAATTATTTATAAATAACTTGTACAGGCAAGTATGTGTGTTTTTATGTAAACAGTTTATTTTGTTGTCCCTTATTTGTTGTACTGTAAGTGGGGATATTAATTTTAGTCTGTCCGTGTGTCATTCTGTCTGTACATGTATGTACTATAACACTTTAATCTGGGAACAATATCTCTTGAAGCCTTTGAGCTTTTGCAATATCATTTCATATCACAACTCCTTACAGCCTAGAGAAGATCCCTATTGATTTGAGGTCAAAAGGTCAAGGTTAGAAATTCCTACAATACAAAAAAAAATTCAAATAATAACTTTAGTTTCCCTTGAGCTTTTTCTGTTAAATTTTATATCATAATTCCCAATGACTTAAAGAAATCCCCTTTGATTTCTAAGTTAAAAGGTCAAGTTGAAAAATTTATATCTTGCAATAAATTATGTCCTGGTGATAATTCTGGTTCTCTTTGAGGTCTTGAATTTATTTCTTTAATAAAAAAAAAAGACACCAATTGACTTTAAGGCCAAAAGCTGAAAGGTTAAGGTTGACCTTTTTCTTTTTCCATCTGCATGTTTTTTTGTCCAGTTCTTCCATCCTCAATTTTTCCCCATAAGTGGGGGCCACAATTCTCTGAATTAGCTTGTTTTATATTTGGATCATTTGCAGGTTTGCATTAAACTCAAGTAGCCATTTAAGGCATTTGGATCTCTTACAAAATAGGAAATAAAGGTGATTCAGGCTAGCATTGCCAAGGTCCCTTTGTTGTAAAATTGAAATTATTCCCTAATTCCCAATGTCATTTAGAACATCAAAATACATGCTCTTTTGCTTTTGGGTATAAATGAAAATTTATTGTACTAAAATGTCTTCTTTGATTATCATGATTATTGCAATATCAATTATAAACTTTAATTCAAACATCAATTTGTCATTGCTTTTACAGATTTTGAATTCATATCATCAGTGCATCTAAATTGGTCAAAAGATGAAAGATCTCAGCATAAATTGTTCAATCATGCAAAGCATATCCTGTCAAATGAAGATTACCCTCCCTTAAAGTGTCAAGTATCTCAGAAATTGGACTATGCAATACTGTACAGGAATATTTTACATATGTCAGCACATTTAGCAATAGGGCCTGTTGCACCATGCCAAGGTACAAAGTTGATGCTTCAAGCTGTCCACAGCATTCCAAAGGAAAAGGATGAAACGTTTTTTTAGCTCACCTGAGCCGAAGGCTCAAGTGAGCTTTTCTGATCGAAATTTGCCCGTTGTCTGTCGTCATCGTTGTTGTCGTGTAAACTTTTCACATTTTCATCTTCTTCTCAAGAGCCATTGGGCCAATTTCAACCAAACTTGCCACAAAGTATCCTTGGGTAAAGGGAATTCAAGTTTGTTCAAATGAAGGGCCACACCTTCTTCCAAGGGGAGATAATCATGAATTTGTGAAAAATTGATGGCATCATTTAAAAATCTTCTCAAGAACCACTGTGCTTGAAAATAAGAAACTTATATGGAAGCATCCTCAGGTAGTGTAGATTCAAGTTTGTTCCAATCATGACCTTCCCCCCAGGGGTAGGGTGGGGCCACAATGGGCGATCAAAGTTTTACATAGGAATACATAGGAAAAAGCCTTTTAAAACCTTCTTCTCAAGAACAGCAAAGCCATAATTGGTCATATTTAAATGGAAGCATCCTCAGGTAATGTAGACTCAAATTTTGTTCAAATCATGACCCCCCCCCCCCCCCCCCCCCCCCCCCCGGGAGAATGGGGGGCCATAACAGGGGATCATAGTTATACAAAGGAATACAAATGATATATCAATAAAAATTGTCTTCTTAAGAATAGATTCAAGTTCAAATCAACCCCCCCCCCCCCCCTCCTCGAACCACTTTTATATCAAAACTTTTCAAGACTGAACTGATTTCTGCTTTTTCCTAGCCAGAGTGCTCAGGTGAGCGATGTGGCCCCTGGGCCTCTTGTTTTTTTTTTTTTCATGACAGTTTCGGGACTCCTTGATTTTCCTAGACACTAATTAATGTTTCATATATTTTGCTTTCTTTCAGTGTAGTACCTTCAAATGTGTTTTTATTTTTTGTTTTTTTTGTTGTTGACAATTTAAAATTAGAGATCATCTTATTAATAATTTTTTTTATAATGTTGCTGTCTTTAAATTTTCTATGTAAAAGTAACATGTACATGATACAATTGGTATTTTTCAAATGCAGTTGAAGGAATTTAATTGAGCATTGTCAAATACTTCATTTAAATACTGGTTGTGTTTTTATGACTTTATGGTATTAAAAAAGACATAAACTTTGTTCTGTTCATTCATTTGTATAATTTTAGGGCAAACAAAATCAGCATTAGAAACAACTTTTGCAGTGAAGAACTGTATGAAAGAACAAGTCTCAATAAGGCTTATCTGTGGTCCCCGGTTACTCGTCAAATTTCTAACATTTATTAAAATGTTTAAAAATTAAATTTTATTATTAATTGCTGTCTTTATTATTTGAATCATCATCTAAAAATGTCAAACAATAGATATAGGCAGCATACGAAGCTGCGCGTTGAAGGTAGGGTCCTTTGATTTTCATGAATATCAAAAGAAATCAGTGACATATACACACTTCAAAACTTTCGTAAACACCGAGCACAGGTTTGTTCAGAGTCAAGTTTGAAATATAATGTGTATATTATATGTGTAAAGGTTGAGTGAAAATATCTTTGTTGAACAACCTTGTGCTCTATGTTTTCTAATTAAAAGTATTGTGATTTTGAATCTCTTCGCTGACTTCATTTACATGCGATTAACCTCTCTATGACCTGTTTAGAATCATAACAAGCCACGTGGTTTTGTATCGTTACAGGTAAATGCCCCCAGTGAACGTGCTAGTTCTCAGTTGAAACGTACTCAGTTTTATATCGATCAGCATGGACTTGTTTGGTTCATCTTGTTATAGCTTTTATTCCCAAAGTTTTGTAAATAGAAAATTGTATTTGTAATTGATTGTGAATCTTGAACATATAATTCGTCTTTGAAAGAAAAATATTATACCAAGATCTTCTTTTTATAGTATCTAATCTAAATGTCTCCGCCCATTTCCATGTAATAGAGAAACCGTGGTCTGATCGGGGGAAAATGTTCCGGCATTTTTAAGTGCGATAGGTGTTAAAAATAGGCTTGTATTTTCTGATATGTTTAATTATTCATTATAAATACACAATGTTTTAATTAGAAATACTTTGTTGTTCACAATGAAAATAAACAAAATACCGTATGCTAATATTTAACCGGTAAACCAAGGGTGTAAAAAGGGACCACACTACTATACTTAAGTAGAATACTCCTTTGGACAACACTGTGAAAAAGTGGATTTTATTTACTGATGTGTTCATACTTTCGAACACTCTCTCTGTTAAACTTGCAATTTTATGTATTTGCAGTTTTTGCAATGTGCATTTTCATGCTAAGGGATCCTGTAAAATGAGCCCCATAGCTACATGTATAGCCAGTTCATTGCTATAATACATTAAGCCTTGTCAAAAACTCATGATTTTTAGCTCTACTGGCTAGAGACCAGAAGAGCCTATGCTAGGGATGCGCGATTTTATTGGTATACCGGTATATTGCGATTTTTTAATGCGTGATACGTATCGTGATGCGGAGACTAAAATACCTGTATTTGGTACATAACTATAAATTCCGGAAATTATTCATTTATTTGTTCAAACTATTGAATGACAATAACAGGAAGTGTAAAAAATGTTGAAAACAGTTAAACAACGGCATCAAAACATGCTTTATATTAAATAAATGAAAATTTAAAAAGTAAAGTTATGTTTTTATAGCATATTTTTAAGAAATATTATGGAAATTCATTTGAAATTGTAGTAAAATATGCGTGTAAAAATATCACGATTTATCGTGATATTTTTGGGAAAAAATCGTGATATATCTCGATACGAAATTTTTGCTGATACCCATCCCTAGCTTATGCGATAGTAAGGTGTTGGTCGTCTGTCTGTCTGTCAACAAAAGCTACTCCTCCTATAGTTTTGGTCTGATTTCAATATTACTTGGCACACAAGTAAAGTATACCGAGATACATAATTTTTTTTTTATCGGATTTTGATTTTGATGAGCGGTTTTGCCATGTTTACTAAAATAGAAATTTCTGTAATTTTTTTAAAAATCTACTCCTCCTTTAGTTTTAGTCAGATTTCCATGAAAAGAGACCAAATCAAGGATCATTATTCTATTTATTGCTGTTGCAAAGTTTCAAGTCCAACTGCTTCTTATCTCTTCCTTTGTTAGAAGTACAAACCAGTAGAGCTACAGTCTCGAATAAGACTTCTGGTTAAACAAATATTCAAATCATGCATCTTTGTGACATTCTGGATAAATATAAGCTAATTTCAGTCATGAAGATTGAAGGTCATGTGCCTGAAATGATTTAACGTTCAAAATGTAATCACTCCAGTAGTCCAGTATGCTTTCTAGGTCATGTGCCTGAAATGATTTAACGTTCAAAATGTAATCACTCCAGTAGTCCAGTATGCTTTCTACCCAGATATAGTGTAATTTTGCTAGGATGAAAAAATCAACTAATTCAAATGTGCCACCACATTGCCTGTTATTTTTACTAAAATATCTTAAAACAAATACTTTTTGATAAAAAATATAATCACTGAAGTGTCTCTTGAAATTCTATGCCTGTTTTTTCTACAGAATATCCCTTAGAATTATTGTGACCTTTTTGCACTTGCAGTTCTGCACTTACAAGAGTGAAAACTCCATCAATTTAAATTTGCAACCAAAATCCCATTAACACTAAATAAAATATTTAAAAACAATCACTTTTTAAAAATATGAAATCAATGGAAGCGTTTCTTGGAATTTTATAGCTGTTTTTCTGCAGACTATTCAAATATCCTTATTCCTTACAATTATCGTGACCTTTTTGCACTCGTAGCTCTTCACATTCAAAAAGGTATGTGGAATAAATTCTGTAAATATTTTTTTCAAAGGTTTTAATTCCTTAAATCCATTAGTTTTGAAGATATTATGGAAATTTTTTATACACAAACAGAATATGTACAAAAGGTGTTATTTTTCCATACTGGGTATAGGAATAGCCTGACGATAAACTAATTCTCCCTGTATCCATGGTAACAAATCAAATGACGTCACCAAACTTACGCAGTAAGTGACCTTGATCTCACTTTGTATGCAAAGTTTCAAGAAATTTTGAAAAACTTGCTTTCATAGCATTCTGCATGGTTTTCTCGTAGACACGCATTTAAAAAGTTGCAGAAGACACCAATTTTCAATGGAACTTTCTTCCGGATAATATTGTCCACAGGCATCGCCCACAAAGATAGTGTGGACACTATTTTCTTAAGGAAAATAACCCTTGAAATTGGTCATTTTGATGCTTTTTCTGTTTGAAATAGAGAAATGCATCAACTTAATGACGTAATATTTCCAGAATGGTACTCCTTCGGGCCATATTCTTTCCTGATTTATCACAGTCATATACTCAACTAATATTTAAACCAGTTTCAAAACTTTTTGAAAACATTAAATTTTTAGGGCACAATAAAGCTAAAACCGTACCTTCTTCTTCAGACATAATCGGGATTAAATCCAGATAGTCTGCGTGAAAATTCAATATGGAAACCTACACCACATCAATTTTTCCAGCCATCATCGATGTTTATTTTTTATCATTGCATAAAATAACGAGCGTCAGGGAGGTTAAAAGTTTTTTTATATATATATAGTACGGAATTATAGAATGAGACCTACCTAGCCTAATTTTGTGCAAGCAGATTCACAACGGAATTCGTTACTTGAGTTTAAACAATAACTGTTAGCAGAAGAAATAATCTATTACTGATGAACTGATGATACTGTTTACTTTCTCTATTCTTTATGTATTCAACTTTTTATTCCATATACATGTATTTCATACAGACGTGTCCACGTAATCCTTTTCAGAACTTCTGCATCAGACCATTTTTCTACTTCGAAAGGGGAGTCACGATTCATTATTTCGCGCCAAATGTCACGAGTAAATCTTCGCACCTTTTCTTTGAAATGTATGTTCTATTGAATGGGTTCGATTCTCATATACCGGTATATCATTGTATGTACCGTACAAATTACTTATTTAATAGCATTTGGAGGTCAGAGTATTTATGTTTTCAAAGACAGATTATCCATTTCTAAAATCTGCCAGATCCAACAATTCCTTCACATTCCACTGAT